GCTTACACTGTGCCGGTTCAGGTTCTCCAGCAATACGATGGAAATTACAGCATATTCAACTAGACGCTGGACAGAGCTGTAATTACAGGCATTTGCGATGTTCAAAGGCAAACTCTGAAAGCCCTCTTCAAAAGTGTTTTTAAATTTTGAGTAGATTTATTCAGAGATGACAGAGGGGTAAAATTACAGAATTATGTTTCTGCCTCACTCCACGTGTACCAGCCTTTTTTTGTGTGTGTGTGGATCGGCAAAGTCAGTAAGATTCAATCTCTGGGCACCATGAATGTCTACAAAATTTCATGGCAACATGAAACCCAAAGACTTTGCTGCCTTTATGAAAGGCTGTCAGACTGACAAACAGACTTATGCCATCATTTCTTTAGATGTGGCTTAAAAAAAAAAGTTATATGCTCCTGATCAAATAGAGAAATTTTGTTGATTTAGTAAGATAATAAACTCGTAAACTTCATTAAAAAAATGTAAATCTCCTAAAAGTCTTTATTTCACCATTAGTTGTACTATAATAAGTGGTACAATAATCTTTAAGCAAAGTAATAATGTCTTTCCTCTAACTAAAATGATGATTGAGGACTTTTTTCATTCCTGCAGCCTGTCACATGGATATATATGGAAGGTAGAAAAGTGGTTCATGCATGTCCAAAATTGTCCAAAGCAGAATCAAACAAAATACAGAAAGCAAAAAGAAGGTGGTTTAGAACTTGACTTCCAGTATGGAACAACATTATGAGCTTTTATTCATAATGAGATCAACTAAGAGACAGACAGTAGGATGAGAGGCACACAAGAGACACAAATGCCATCTTTCCACTGCCACCAGAAACCATCCCATACCCATATTGTATCATGGTTTGCTTAAGCCAAACTATTCCTCATTTTTCTGCTTAATAATTTTAAACACGAGAACTGACGATTGGATGTGAGCTGCTCTCGTAAATCCAACAAATGCCTTCATTCTGAATTCTAGTGTAAATATCAGCAGCTTGCTGTTCACAGAGAAGTGGCGACTGCAGCGACTTCGTGTGCCCTTCCTATTCTACACCTATTCATTATTCCTTTCTTCGTCTTTGCTCCTGAAAAAACTTTTTTTTTCCTTTTCAGAGAAATGCCTGTCCCACAAAAATATCTGAGCTACACAGAAAATATGACACATTCAATCACTGTGGTAAGTGGATGAGAGAGGTAGGCAAGTGCTGTCGCACCTGTTTGGCTCTCTGAAGGCTGATGCAGATTGCACAGGAAATGCACCCAGCCTCATCTGTCACACCCATGACTGAGTGCTGTCTGTCAGGGCTCTACAGCTGTTTAACACTCAGATTTCTCAAGGTTTCTTCAGCATACTCTTTCTTCCTCTCCCTTACCTTGTGTTTCTCAGTCAAGGCCTGGCATCAATTCCATGTGCGCATGTTAGTTTTTCTGATTATCAAGCACAAGTCTGAACTGTACATGCTGTTTCTTATCAGTGGCTTTTCTATTTTATCTGTGATCCTGTCATCCTCTCACAGCACGTGGTGAACAGGAGGAAAGATGAATCACCCCAATGGCTGTAACGACCACTGATACTTAACAGAGGGAGACGTTTGTGTATGTTGTTCCCTAGTGCCAAAAAAATCAATGCCTGTCCTCAAAATGTCGAACGACAGGCACTCCAAGGGTTTCAAAGACAGACAAGGTTGAGGTTATTCCCTAAGTAGCTTCAGACAACTAAACATTTCACCACATGCTGGAGGATGGGTGTGAGTTAAATCCCAGAAATCTCTGCTGCAAGGTGGGCGATGCTCCTCAGAGACCAAAGGGAGTGTGTGTGAATTCCTAAACATTTCAGGGAGCTCAGGGCAGGTTTTAGTCTTCTCTCCATGAGTCTGTTTAGATAACACAGACATTCTAATCTTCCTAATTAATTCTGTGATACTATGGTCTGACCAAATGATATCCTCAAATCTAATGCAGGTCATTTGCTTCCACCTCTAATTATTTATTGAGTTTCCTCTGCACAGTTAAAAAAAATAAATAAAATTCGGACCCCCAGAAACCAATTGATATGCAGAGGAGAGACAAAGCGAGAAAGGCAGAGATGAAGAGACACAGACAGATGCACTCTAAAGTCCAGTCATAAATTAAAACAACCTTTTTGAATGCTTATAAGCAGATGGGTGATACAAAATTGGTATAATTAGCAAAGTTTAATTACACAGAGGTGGTTCCTTTGTTACTATTACAAGAACCACCCAGCTTTTTGATTATTTCAAATATGCAGCTGTCAGGGACAAGCTAACCATTTTGTAGGCGATGGGAGACCAACAATATGACAGAGTGAATTATTGTAAGGCATCAGTATGAATGCAACAATGGAATAAAGTCCCAAAAAGCTTTATTTTCCTCCTCAACTGACTATGCTTTTTGGATTGAAGTGTGTTTAAAACTCAGAAGAGAATTGCATTTTGATTTCCTACATGAAAACTACCACTTTTACAGGGCTTTCATTTTTTGTTGAATATTTCTTGTACACTCGGCAGTGCAGTATTACTGACCTCAAGACTGGGATATACTCAACATGCACTTTTAAATCCCCTCCTAATATCTGGTGCATCACTTACTTCTGATAACTACTAATGCAACACAAAAACTGGTCAAGTGTTGACATAATCAGAGCTGGAGGACCCAATGTCAGCTACAGTCCATATATGGCTGCACATTTTGCAGTTTTGGGAGTGCAGACTTGGGCTGATTTGTGTTAAGAATGTTTCAGTTAGCAGCACTCATCCCAGCTTTGGGCAAGCGTCCGCTCATGGCAATGACCTAAGTTTGGCTGATTCTGGAAAAAGCATTCATTACAAATCAGGGCACTGTTGAGCCAAGTCATTTTGACTAAATGGATACCTGCCACTTTACCCTCAACATGCTGGACCTCCTAGGCTGAATGACAAATATACAGCATGTTCTGTGATCTGACACCTCAAATCAATACTGCAGCTATTAAACTGGGAAAATTGCAGTTTGGGTTAAATCACTGGTTCAATTAGTGAATGATTTTTTTTTTTTTTTTTAACCGTGTGGCAGTCATTAGGGAATATGAAGCAAAGAATAGTCTCCTTTTTTTTTAAAGTCTGAGAGACTTTGTCAACTCCTTGAATCACCTCTATAGCATTCTTATTATCAGAGAATTTCACACTGTTGAATAGGAATCATGATTCCTACAAATGCATGAGGGATTTATCACTTATGTTGTTTTGGGGCATTGGCTGGAATCACCGACGTTGTTATTTTTTTAGGAAAACAATCTCAAATTAGGATCCCCACTTATCATGATCATTTTGTACCGCTTTCTTTTTGGTGTACCACCCATATTACCCACTTTTTGACCATATTTTTGAATGATGTTATACCAATCCATATGCTACATTTAGCATGCAAGCTAGACCATAATTGCAGTTCAACTGGATACGCCGGGGTCATCTTTCCCCTAATTACAGGTCCTGTTATCCATACCTTTTCATTAGTATCAAAAGCTGATTATATGAAATGAAAAACTGCTTTGTTGACTACCTCTATACCCATTTCCAATCCAAAAAAAGTTTTAGGAGAACTGAGGGAGATGCCGCCTCATGGCAAAATCTTTCTACTTTAATTTAAAGACTCTGAATGCAGGTTCACCAACTACACCATGGCAGAAACACTGTAGCATGGGCTCCACCTAGGTGGAGGGAGGCCATGTCAATTATTTCAGAGAGAAAGTGAAGTTAATACCCTGCTGACATCAAAGAGCCAGTACATACTGCCCCATTTCAGTACTCACACTAGCCCTTAAAACTATTTTCACTCCCTGCAGTCATACTGTATCAGCCAATCCTCCGAGTGAGAGATTTAATGACCCCACACCGAGATGATGTGTGAGGTAAACATCGCATGAACTGAATTTTTATACCTCTCTGCCAGCGTGGGCAATTCTGAGGACACTGTAATTGGTGGTCTGTTATTAATGATGCACGAAAAGGCGTCATGTTTATTAACCCAGCATAGGTAACAATAAACCCTATACCTTTTTTAAGAAAAGGTATGGTCCTGCATTGCACTCGAACCTTTTCTGAGTGAAATGTATTCTAATTAACAATGCTGACATCTTTTCTGAAAACTTAGCACTGTGCACTGACTGTATGACACCCACTCTGTGATGATGACATGCAGTGCTGTTATAGCAATACACTTTACAGAGGTGCTGTATCTACCACCACACGCTTCAGACTAGGAGATAATTTATTCAGTGATTTTATTTATTTATTTATTTATTTATAAGTGTAGCTTGCTGGATCCCAACTTACCAACTTGAGCAAATCGATAAGAACATATTTTTGTTTTCTCTCTTTATCTTTGCTATTTTGTTTGTCTACTACACACACAATAACAAACATCTGTATCCTGGCACGTGTGATGTGCCACACACACACACACACACACACAACCTAGTTATCATTGGCTTATTCATTCAGAAGATTAAACTGGGCAGCTGAATAAAAATAACATCCTGTTTGGTTACTGTATGTTTACACCTTAAAGACAAAAAGGTATCCTCTCGGATGTTAAACTCTGTCCATCCCGACTGCAGTCTGACTTCCCTTCATTGTTCCATCAGAGGAGAAAGAAATGAAACAGCACA